CCTTCATGAATCAGATCTTGGGAATAATGACGCTTGAGATCGCTTGAGATTCGCCTGCCAGTCATGACCCCAAAACAGTGTATGTGCCCGAATCCCACGTGTCCAAAATGCGCTGCTCACTTGACTGATATATCAAAAAATCGGAAAAGAAATCGAAGTTCCAGCAGTTCCAAAGGGATGCTTATTGGAGGGTAGGGTGCACATCCACTTACGTAGAGTGACAAAAAAGCACCACGTGAGAACTCCTCGTGAAAATGGTGTTTGGGGTGCTCGGCTCGATCTGTCTGGGCATCTCTGAAGTGGGGGGCATTGGCACGATAATGACTTACATTGGTGGAAAACCCAACTGAATGGTCATCCAAGGGGCCAGGGGCCGTGCCATCCACGTAAACCATGATGATGTCAGGGAGTGTCACAAGTCTCAGGGCCATGGCGGACTTGACCAGTTTCAGGTTCAGACTCACGGTTCCAGCGGCTCCATTGCGCCTGTAGCGCGGGCGTCAAGGTCGCCCAACCTCGTTTCACCGTGTGCACCTGCGGACGTGCCCAGGCGGGGCCTGCCGCGACGAGAGTCGGGAATGAGGGTCATCCTTTCCGGACGCTTACGGGGAGGGATCCTTCCCGGAACCCTGCGGGTCCGCATCAGTCCCCTTCGGTTTTCGGCACCCCCCATCGCCCTCCGTTGGGACCTTTGATGAATAATTATAAACATGTCTCAACGCGTGAAGTCTGGTGCACATGGTGTGTGTACAGTGCTACTATCTTGACTATAGGGCCTAGGGTGAACGTATGAACTAGTGCTTCCGGTTGGCTAAGTCGTGTAGGGTTGTGCGGCCAGGTGACTTGAACAGGAAGCAGCTGCCATGCATTTGGTTCGCGGAGAGATGAAATGACTGTCTTACAGTACCTCTTCCACAGGTAATCAAAACGAAAGATCCCACACCACGCCTGCCATTGTCCACTCCCTGCCTTAGCAGTCAATCATCTTCCGGAGCATTCTCTGCTGGTCCATGACTTTTGCGGACGGCTTCCTTCATCACCGACCCAAAACAGGCACGGAGATACTCAGCATACCTTTTCGGCCTAAGCGCCTCTTTAAAGTCAATTCTGATTCATGGGAATTCGGCCAGAAAAAGCTCTTAGCTGAAGCATAAGCAGATGGAAAATGATGGAAAAGGCAAAAAGAACGGGCTGCCAGTGTAGACTGATTGGGGAATGATAAGGGATGTCAGAAATCAGTTCAATGATGACCTTGTCCAGGGACTATCCCATCAGTTGAGCCATTTCCTTCTCCAACCCACAAGTTGAGAACCCCCACAGTCGTGCACTCTCGACTCGAATTCACGGCGTCCAACGCCAATTCGGCCTGCCACGGCCTGACGCGTCGACGGGAGAAGCCCAAGAAATGAGACCGAATGGCAATGGGGGAGGGATTCTCTACCTAGCGCATCGGGGTGTCCAATGGAAAACTAGGAGTAGTGACCCCTTGGAAGCAAGTGGTAGGACTTCCTATCAACTAGATTCAACTAGTAGCTTCTTGTCCCTAGTAGTAAGGCCAGGAGCCCCGTTTGTCGCGTGTTTGCTACAGGACATCCTGCACCACCTGGAAGCACAAAGGCATGAAGCTCAATGGGTTTCCCTCTGTGCGGAGTTCCGTCAGAGCAGTACTCCAGCCAATGGCACATGAACACTTGAAAAAACCATTGGGACCGTCCTGAGTTTTACGCAATAGGACAGATATAGATCAGGACAGCAAGATAAGTAAGACCCCGTGGCCTATACTGATCCGTTCCCTCGATGATGGACCCCAGCAGGGAAACAGCCCAAGCCACGAGGGAGACCGACCCGGGTGACAGACTCCATGCCTTCGTGGCCATGCCTTCAAGCCCGGAAAGCGGCCATCCGACCCAGCAGAAAAACCATGAAAACAACCGTATGTAGACAGCCGACCACCCGGCTCTGTGAGTTAGTGCGAGGCTATGGATCCATGATGAGGCTATGCCATGATGAGACTATGGACCCTCCGACTCACAAGCGTGGAAGTGGAAAACCTTCTGCTTGTAAAGGATTAAGTTTATCTAATAAAGGAAAACGGTCTTCCAGGGGCCCTTTTTCGGAGTCCATGTTGGTGAGTCAGAGTGCACCAGTCCACCTCAATGGTTTTGGATCCCAAAATCCACTTCTTTCGTTCCCAAACGCTCCCCGATTCCGAAGCCTGAAGCCACGGAGCGTGGCCTGAAGCCGTGGCTCAAGATGCGCGAACGGGGCATGAAGACCGGGCGATCCACAGTCTTCAGCCGGCGCAGCCTCTGGCGATGCCAAAACCATGACTACCGTACCGTAGCTACAATGACTGTTCAGAGAACGCGGCACTGAAAAGATACACACCAAAACACGAGTCCGCTGGATTTGAGTCAATCTGTTGCCAGCTGGAGCTGAGTCAAAACACCCACGTCGTCCATTCATATCCACGTCGTCCCAAAGCATCTTCACCCCAAGACTCGGTAGAGGGTAAAGCAAACATGGTGATGAAACGCATTCTTTTGTTCCATGCGCGGACGAACATGGATGGAGCGCTTGCGTACTGAAAAAATCTGGTATATAGCTAGCTGCATCACGCGTTCACGAAGGCTCCAGGTATAGCTGAAATATGCTGAAATATATGCTACCTAGCTGAGACCTTGCAGGACTCTGAACTAAAGCTACCCATCGGAAGACGTTGGCTGGCGAAATCATTAGTTTGTTGGAAGAGCGAACTGCCGCCTGTGCTTTGATGAATGAATCCAATGGAATCCAATGGTCGCAATCGGCCAAGAAGGAGTGGACAAAAGGAATCAATTCGCATCAACACTAGCTCTGGAAGCCCATCAAGTGCTGTTCATCATTCCAATATCATATTGACCGTGTGGTGGAGTGAGGAGGCCTCCTCACCTTCTTCCAGAAGTGTTTCGCGCAAACGTCCTTTTCCTGCAAAAATGTCACGTGTGTCCCATCCTCAAGAAAGGTGTCAAAAAATCGGGATGACGACACCAAATGTTGGGGGTGGTGAAACCCAAGAGCAGCTCCTCTGATGAGCCTCCCAGCACATCCCCTCGCTGTTCATCCCTTCCCGCTTTAGATCGCTCCATCTCAATCTTCGCGATGGAGACTTTGCCTGGAATTCGGTCCCATCAAGCGCATCGCCCCTGAACTCGTCCAGTCATGACTCATTTTACCCCGGTAGTACTGAAGTAGAGTAGGAGTAGGAGTAGGAGTAGGAGTAGTAGTAGCAGGAGGAGGAGCAGCACCAGCAGCAGATTCGTGTGAAATGGCGTAGAAACGCAACATGTTGAAGTGTGGAGGATGATTTTACTACGATTTTGCTGCGCGGGTGCAGTGCTTCGAAGGATCCTCAGTTCTCTTCGCTGTGACAGTGAATGTCGCTTAGTGGGATTTGCGTTTCAGCATGGCTATATATTCGGCTCATGCCTCTGGACTGGGGACCCTGAAAGTTCCAGGGGTGCAGGGGGTGGGGTCGGCGGTTCTTTTGCAAAGCAAGGCACTGTAAGGCGCACTCATCCCTTTGGGGTGCTCGGAGACTCAAAAACATCTTGCACCCCAATCCTCCAGCTCCGCCAAGACCGAGCATCTATTTTTCACAGCCACACGTCAGACAAGTGCCACTTGGAATTTCATGGACATGGCTTTTGATACACTCAACTTGGACTCCATGGCCACAGGGACGCGGATGGCATCCGCGTCCCCTTACGTGGGCCACCAGGGATCGGGAGTCAGTGCTGCGCCGCGTTTTTCAAACGCAGCGAGCCGCACAGCGAGCCCCGGGCCACTGGAGGAGTCCAAGGCTTCCTCTTTCAATCCAACCAAGAATTTTGTCCATAATACTTCATCATATGTCATAATGTGTTGGGATGTGTTGGGCGCCTAACATGTTTTGGGGCCTTTCAAAAAAACGGTCTCTCCCAAACAGAAGGGCATAGCTAGCTAGCGGCATAGGTCAGATGAACCATGAACAGCGCCACGTGTCAATTCTTTGACTTCTAAAAGTCACCAATGTCTCTCGCTATCCGGCCGTAATCGATTCTACTCACTCCAGCGTGAAAAAAAGACAGCGTGCCGTCAGACGGGCCCACTCACCTGTCATGCAGTGAAGCAACATGGAGCAACCATCCCGACTCTCCAGGGCCCGACTCTACAGGTCACCACCTGCCACTTTGATCTTTGAAGTCTCCAAAAAGACACCAGAGGAGACCTGTAGAGTTGGGTGTAGGCGTAGGGATTCACATGGCCACATGGACCCTAAACCACTAGAGTCCTGAGAAGACGAAGGCCGGAAGTTCAGGCCCCCAAACCCGCATAGCACCAGAAAATGTCTGGATCTCAGAACCATCCAGGGTGGGGGGTTGAAGGACAGCTGAAACAGGTATTGTTTGGTGGTTGCTGTTGCCCCAAATCAGGCGAACTGAAAATACCTTTGTCATGGGTCTTGTTGCTTTGTTGCTTGCCGTGCCAGTCCTGTGAAGAAGGGGAGAGCTCCAAAGTTCCACACTCCTCTAGACTCTAGACCCGCTAGGATCAAACAAATGTCGACTCCACCAGAAAAGACAGCTGAACAGCGCCACTTTGGTCTTGTCAGCTTCATCTAATGTAGGTACTCCTTCAAATTGCCTTCAATATGCCCAAATAGTTTTTGGATGACCCTGAAGGGAGGTGGTGGTGATGACATGTTAATCCCCCTAGAGTAGAAGAGGTGCTTCTTTGTCGAACTGAACATCCAATAAGCTTTTGGAGGGGAGTTGATGGTGGCTAGCCTACTCGCTCGCATCTAGAATATCCTCACCTCTCAGCATCCCAAGAATACATCTTGAAGCGCCCGCCAATGGTTCGACCCCATTCATGCCCACTTCGCTCGAGCTCCACTCCCCAACCTGAGGTCCCCCTAAGTACCGGTCCACCCAGACTTCCATCAACTGCTCTAAGCTGCTACGAGAGTTTGGGCTCCTTTACCAGCACCCAACTCTACAGGTCACCCGGCACCGCCGCACCGGAGACCGGCCGGTGGTGCCCCCCCCAACCGCCCACCAGGTCATGAAGGTGGAGTAGGGCGTCGACTCGCCCAAGCCCGTGTTGTAGCCCGAGAAGAGGCGCCGGTCCCACGGATGAAACCTCAGTCCCACCGAAAGCCGGAGGTGGAGGTGGAGGTGTGGTAGGGAGGCCACCGGCCGGTCCGTGGTGGTCACTCCACCAACAAATGAGCCGAAGCAGCATCAAAACCCGTGGAGCATAGCCTGATATCACCGTTGCCCACCGAAAGAAGCGAAGAACCATCCACCAAAAGAATGCCAAACAAAAAAAGAACACGTCACGTGGCAGCTTGTCTGGGCTCCCCCAACTGCAGCAGCTCTTGCTCCTCCTGCAGTTGAAACTTGGCCTCCTCCATGAAAGGCGCCTCGCGACCGAGTGTTTCACGACCGACTCACGGCAAGAAAAGGGCTTTCAGAGATGGTGTGGCCAGTTTGCAAGTTCAAATCTAATCTAAGGAAGCTTCATCATTTTTTCTGAGGCCAAAGGGGGGCTACCAGGCACCAAACCAGGAACTATCTGGAACGGAATTATCACATGATGATCGCTCCGCAGCTGTGTATTTTCCCACCTCCCCAAAAGCACCTCCCCAGCCAAGGTGGTGCCAGAATTACCCGAACTGCAGAAGCAAACACACACGGTGACCGACCGTGGTGACCAGCACGCGCTCGCGGATGCGATGCTCGCTATATGCAGCTGAAAGGCCATGTATGGGATCATCGGGTCATAGTTCCTCAGCGCTCCCGGTTCCCCCGATCGTCTTTCCCTCCGTTGGCATGCCCACATGATGCCATTGCCGAGTCATCGGGCGGGCCATTCCCGCAAGTTCCAAGGACGGCACGACGGTGACGAACAGCACTCAATGGTTATAGGCTAAAGGGAAACACTGGGAGAACGAGGTCAGTCGGACTAGACCCCCATTGACCTAAAACACCCATCGGTTGGCACCCCAAGTAGGCTGCAGATGGGTCCGTCTAGTTCAGGGTCAATCAACTCGTACCATGACCATCCATGACCCCCAGCACCTTCATGTTCAGCATGGTGAATTCTGTAAAAAGAAGACTCATGGCCAAGGCCTCAAGAGGAAGCCGACGAACATCACAACTGGTGGGAACTCTGAAGAAAGCAAGGATATGCGGCGATTTTTCCCATGAGCGACACCATCACCATCTCCCACATCTGACATCCAAGATGAGGCCCGGACTGCTCAGACAAGGGCAAGTGAATCTTCTTGGCATACATCTCCTGAGCCTTGATATCTTTATGCGGGCGAGGCGTCAAAAGGCTCAACATGGCTCAACCATTCAAAAGTCTACACAGATTTAGTGTCTGCTTGTGAAAACGTGTCTTTCAGGTCACCGGTGTGTCCAGTCTCACGCGTTCACAGTTTCCATAGGAGTCATCTGTCAGGATTCCTGAACATCACAAAAGCCCCAAGAATATCCTGCACGACCCTCCTGATGCAGGTGTTTCTTGAAGAAGCTGTAAGGTTCCCTATGGTTCCCTCAACACCGATAGTGTCAGTGTTGAGACTTTAGGTGGAACCAGGAAGGGCGATCCTACGCGAAGCACCTTCAGCTTCGAACACTTCAGCTTCGAACACGGATTCCAGCTTGGACGATGCTTTGACATCAACACAACCCCAGACCCCAGCAGCCTGACCGGACGCGTCACAATGCCGCGGGTCGAAGGGGCTTAGAAAAACCACCTTTCTGACTCACTCTACAAGGGTGGCCCACGGGGTGAAACTGCCCAAAGGACCATCAGACCCCTGGTTCCTGACAACACCTGCTTGCAGGATAGGCTACGGCATGGGCATGCATAGGCATGCATATGGCATGCATCGGCATGCATCGGCTATTCGGATCGGGGACCTCTAGCCAACCACTCTCTTTGAATTCACTCTTTCGCACTCCGTCACTGGTCTCCCTCGTTTGGCGCGCCCGAGTTCCGTGACTGGTCTCTGAAGCGATTGATCGCTTTTCACCTGTCACCCGATGACCCGATTCTGAGTCTCCCGGGCCCGCATCAAACGACGGTAACGGCCCATGATGAGATCCGGCGGCAGCAGCTCCAAGGCACGTTCGATGAGAGGCTCCTGCTGCGCAGCGTTCTCGGGCGGAACCGGCCACCGGGGCGGTGGCACGGAGCACCGAACTGGTCTGGAGCTGGGGGGGCTGGGGGCAAGGATGGGTTGGGGGGGAACCAGACCAGGGGCTTCGAGTTGGATCCTTACAGGGTTGGTTTGGAGATTGAAATCGGGTCCTGGCACAAGGGATGACATCGAAACAGTTGCACTCACCAGGGATCCGGATGCGGTGGCCTTGAAATCTGGCAGTCTGGCACAAATCGCCTGCTGTGACGGCCATAGCCTGCTTCAGTGAAGCCAGGCGATGGAATTGCGAGGGCCCAGGACAAGAGACGCAGCCAGGCATGATTGAAGACCATTCAACTCTGTCCAGGGCGGGTCACCATGGGGGGATGCACCCCGGCTTGACTCAAGACAATTTGGCTGTGGGTCGAAACCGGGGGAAATTGTCTTGACCTACCTGGAAGGTCAAGCTACATGGTGCACAAGGACTCCAGGGTTTTGACTGATGAATGACAACCCCCCCTCTCCTGGGAAGGAAGAAAAGGTCGTGGTAGCCGGGTCTTGACGTCAAGACCGTGGTCGTGTCGCTGGTCAATCGCAGCTGTCCGTCCCAAATACCCCATACGCACCACCACGTCACGCAAGACATATCGACTGGACTACCTAGTCCCTTCCACCCCGGTTGCCCGGCCCAGCGCGCCACTCAACGGACACCGGCCCCTCTGTCCTTGTCATTGAGCTGGTCATCCTGCCAAGCTGGATGCAAATTCCATGCAGCCATTTGATGCTCTTTCATACACAGGGCCACTTCCCAACGTCTCCCCTCTGAGCTTCAGGGAATCCAAAGGGGGGCATCCATCCCCAAGTTGTTTGCCATCGCCCCAAAAAATGAATCACAATTGTGCCAGAGATTGCCAGATCTGTATCTCCGCAAAGGTTCTCTGGAAAATTGCCATCTTCCAGCAACTACTTCCATCCCAGCTTCCAGCAACTCCAGTTGCAATCAATCCACATCAAGCCACCTCACCCTCCCTCCACCAACGCCCCCCCACCCCCTTCCCCCCGAGATCCGGTCCAGCATCAGCCCATGGCCACGCAGCTCGGAGACCAAACTCTCATACCTTTGGGTCCAAACCGATCCGGACCGCTCGACATGAACGACATGAACAGCTGTACAGGATTCATCCGTGTTTCTCTCGCGTCCCAACTGTATCCAAACATGGCAGGTCGCTGGTCCAACAACGGGATATTAGGACAAGCAACAAACCACCCTGGACGTCGTGGGTAACATGGTGCAACAGGTCTTGATCAGCTTCAAACGACTGGCTTTCTAGAAAATCAGGTCCACCCTGGTGTTTTCAGGCAACTGGATCTCAAACCAAGGATTCCAAACACCTCCGGCCTCCGGCACCCCCGGATGCCACACGATGTGCTTCGCGTGCCGATGCCCATGCCCCGTTTCGTCTCGTGGTCCCGATCTGGGGTCGCTGGCCCATAACGATCGAAAGGACCCTTGACGTACTTGAACCAAATGGGGTAGATGTTGGCCTGGCATCGCACTGGTATGCACTGGTGATACTGATAAATCGGCAGGAGAATGAGAAGATGGGTGATGGGTTCTTTTTCCCCCATGCTTGTTGTATTTTATTGCGCGAGTGAGGGGTGTCAAGGGTCGAATTCAGATCTGGCTTCATCAAACTACAGCCCACAGCCCCAATCGGATGGCGCAGCAACTCCTGGTTCACGGGCTTCGCAGGACCACCTTCTCTCCTCTAAGACGGGTCACACCGAAGACTGAGGGGTCCCTGAAAACCAGTGGAAACCAGGTTCCAGGTGCTTCCAGGTGACTTCCAATCCCAACCGGACAGTCCCATCGCACGGTCCCATCGGTCGGATTGATGGGTGGCTTCTGGTGGCAAGCGCAAGGTGATGCTTCTCCACGTGCCTTGCAAAACTGCTCGATGGGGGAGAGCACTTTTTCCTCATGATACCTGGAGCGAGAAGGAAGAAGCAGCAGCGGTATGTCAGTGTCAAAGGGAGCCTTTGGGCAGCTCGACTCCGTTTTCGGAAGTTTACATACACTCATTATTTGGATGTGGAAAACAACCTGTTTCAAAGAGGAAAATGGTCATCCAATCGGGGCCACCATCCGCTTCCATGATGAGCTCAGGGAGTGTAGACTTATATAGTCATATATAGTCGTGTAGAAGCTTCAAGTGATTGGGCTGCTGCCTGTGGCGAAGTGTCACAGGAGGCCACAAGCCTGGCGCAAGAGCACCTGTGCTCTTGCACCGTTCTTCCTCTACCCATCATTCTGGTCAAAGTTCCACGTTTGCACTGCCGGATCAATCCAAGGCAGTGCCCTTCACGCCTACAATCGCCTATTGCCTCGGCTGTGAGGGATCTGCCTGGTCCATGTCTGACCCACAACGGAGCCAAAAACAAGAGGCGCCTCTTCGTAACCAGGTCCAGGGTCAACTGAAGAAGAACTTGCAACCCCTCCAGGTCCAAAGGCCCCAGCTCATACTTAGGCCCTGGTCCATGACCTTGTCCGAAGCCCTCGTGCTTTCGATGCTTTGGGACCTATTCCGAATGAGGTCAGACTGACCCGTCAGGAGCCCATGATCTGCCATGGGGCTCTCTCTCTCTCTCTCTCTCCCTCTCTGGGGGCCCGTGCCAGGGCACCACCGCACGCTCCGCCGCCATCGTGCGGAGCAAGGTCTTCGTCACCGCTCGGTAGAAGGTCATGCCTGGCGCAAGCACGGGGCCCAAGCACGGGGGAAGCAGTGGTCTGTTGAGGCCACTTGGAATGACTCATAGCTGTCATCATGAGTCATACAACATCGATGTGAAGCAAAAAAAAATCAGGTGATAGATCAACACCGGATGGTGCTTTTCACCTCCTGGGGAGACCGGAATCCCAGTTCGTTCGAGGAGAACTGCTGGATGTGGATGGCATGTCTTCGACAGGAAGACGACGTTCCTGCCCATCTGCCCAGGGGGTGCCATCGACCATGTTCCACCTCCATGTTGGTGAGTCGGAGAGTACCCACATGTACCCATTGTTCGGTCACCACCCTCCAGTGGCAGATGCAGACGCGAGCACGTGGCACACTGGGAGGCGCGACGTAGACCCGCGGGCAGGGCCCTGCCCGCCCCCAGAGGCCGAGCCTAAGCAGTGTGTTTGCAGCGCGAAGGACGAGAGAAGCGTCTCTTCACTCGAGCCGGTGGCCATCGGTAAGAACCGTCCGCGCCGAACCGCGGCGAACCGCGGCAGATGGGACGGAGAACATGAGATCGATTGAAAGGCACACAGTAGATTCCGGGTAGCCCGGGCTTTTTGAAGCATGGGAACTCCCTTGGTTGAGACTGAACTCCAACTTTGGGCTTCCACAAACCCATGCAACATCTCTTTTGGGGTTCAATGAGTTCAAGTGTCCAAAAACGCTTCCAAAAGAGAAAAGGTGACTGGACAACATCACGCCTCACCCACTGACCATCACGGACCCATCATCTCCTCTATCAACCTTACTAGCCTTATCCAGCGGACACCACCTACATTGGGCTTTGACCAGGCCTGGTGAATTCTCTCCCCGGATCCTCGCTCGCGCTCCTCCTTTTGTGCGCCTCGCCCGTGCGGAAGGCGGCGGAAGCATCCGGAGGCGTGCGGCGGAAAGCGCGGCGCTTCCGGACCAGTCCGGCAGAGACCCGGTTTGGACGAGGCCGGGTGTCGTGGGGCCGAGAGAGGATGGGCGGAAAGGAGTGGCCTGAGCAGGTGTGAAACCCCATCACAGCGGTGTTTCAAAGACTTAGGAACCCCTGAAGCACCAGCAATCCCTGATTCAACCAATGTGAGAGTGAGATGGTTGATCCTGTTTTACTGATGTCCATCATTTTCTTCAGGGATTCGCACTTTGAGACGCGCCAAAACATGAGCCTCACACCACTGACTCACTGACTGGTGCAGGTGTCAGGACTGAGGGATAGTTCCATCAGTTTCCACTAAGCACCAGTCAGACCAAACATCTCATGGGTTTACACCATTTTTTTCAGTCATCACCAGATGAGATAGAACAAGCTAAGTTCTTGAAGTTCAAGACACCAAACAATCTTGCAGACCTTAAACTTCATTCGCATGCCCAAGCATGGACAAAGGCACTCAGCCGCGGCCGTGTCGAAACTGTACACTTGGTCGCTCCGCGACAAGTCAATCCCCGTCTCCTCCTTCATCCTGGAGAGATTTGCCGGGCAGCGGTGAATGGCATCTCCACCAGGGCATAACGCCCCCCCCGGTATCAATGAGTTCTTTGGTTCAGGGCCCAATCACTTTTGGGGCGCGACTGATTTGCCAGGGCTGTAGTCGCAGGGAGGCAAGTTCCAATGGCGGTCCGTAGCCATCCAATCGGCCACAAGGTAAGATCCCCAAGTGTCGACGTGGTTCGTCTTCGGGAAAGAAAGAGCTGGCGAGGGAACGAGGCTTTTGATCCCTCACAACGGGGACCATGGCCAACCAGAAGCTCGGCAAATGTTCAAGAATCATCAGCAACTAAAGGAGGGGGTGATTCATTCGGACCTCCCCCAAAGGTTTGCAAGTCGCTGCTGTGAAAGCAGCCTGGCCTACAGTCTCCTAGATGGCAGGGTCTCCCACAGAACTGGTATTTTAATATGGAGACCCCCTGGCCCTGGGTCCCTGGCTGGGTAGACTGGTCTATTCCCCTTCTTCCAGGAGGTCGCCTGGGAGGTCATTGTCATACCCACCCATGGGTCACAGGGCTCCAACTTGTATAATAGGTTCCTTCTGTGCTTCAGGTGCTTCAAATCCTTCGGCTACGAGTCTGGGAGGAGCAGGCCCGGCGGCCGCTGCCGTGAAGAGCTGGGGTGAGCGGTCGGACAGGCGTCTTCCATGGTGGGGCGCCTGCAGAAAAAGAACGAAAAGCTCTAAAGCAGGTCCAAAGAAAGAGAATGAAATCAGAGAGGAAGAAATCGGAAGAAATTACATTTAATAAGATCAAAATGAGATCAAAATAAGCATCAATGGAATACCAATCTATCCTGTAGACAGACTTCCACGCCTCCGTGGGTCAAGATCTTTTCCCTCCAAAAACGATGGCATTTGCTATCATCTGTCTACCCCAGGCCCAACAAATGAACCCACGACGTCGGGACGAACCGGTTTCTGAGCGTTGCTCGTCGGTCCTCACGGCGTCTACTGGAGGCACCGTCCTTAGACTGATAGTTCCTGGGCGCCAGAGGAAAGCGCACAAGCATGGCGCTTGTGCGCTGCTTCAGAGGACGCTGAAGAGTTGGACCAAAAATGGGTCGCATGGCCGTGAAACCAATGCCCGGCGGGCCATGGCGGGCCATTACCCCGCCCCTGGAAGTTGGGGAAGGCGGCTTCGCCATGGGGGAGTCTGATGTGGTGCGTCAAAACCGGGGTGGGTTGACCTTTAGGGCAGTGTTCAGGGGGTCAACTAGGGCTATTCCTGACTTGTCAAGACTCTGGGATTCACCATGAAGACCCTCGTTCTCCCACGCACACCTGAGGAAATCGCCCCAACCCACCCGACAGTTCATCCGCCGTGTGGCAGGATGGTCCAGTCGAAGACGAAGTCATACCTGAGCATCCGCGTTCGTCTGCGACGGCGCGAATTACTTGGGGCAACAGGGCAGGTGGCCGGGGCTGGGAGAACAAGAGGGACGTCCTGCAGAGTGAAGATTCAAGAGAACAGGACAGTTCCAGTCATATTTCTAACGCCAGCTTGACAAAGGTCATAAAAAACCTCTAATGTAGACTCTTGATGTTTTAAACCCGCCATATGAAGACGATGTCCAATTCAAATGGGTCGGTTTATGTACCTCAAGAGATTATGTCATAGAGTCTCAGAGTCACGAGTCTCGGGTTTCTGTCATCTACCAGGTTTCTGTCTCAAACCGCAAAAACATTCGGGGGGGAAGAGCACCAACGGCAACGACAATCCACGTTCACCATCTGAGCACTTATATAGTCCCCTAATTGCAGAACTGGTCCCCCCCAAAATGCGTCCTCCCCTGTTCCGGTGCTTGTTTTGCTAGGAGAAGAGATGAGAACAGGAGGTAGATGGAGTTCCCATGCAGTTCTGCTGAGGATCCCATTCGACAATACATCCGTTGCCGAAAGATATTGAAACCACGTTTTCGTCTCGTTTGGTCTCGTCGGTCTCATCCGCATGCCCAGTGGCTGGTAACCCTCTCGGAAGAAGAGATCTTTCAGCAATCGCCGCCTTGGATGTGGCAGGGATCTGGAAGAAAATCGTCTGTAGATCGTAGATCTGGAAAAGAGATGAAAAGAGTTGATCAAGGGCGAAGTCATGCTGATCGATCAGCCCAAAGAGTCTGAGACCGCCATGTTGGGGGAATGACGCTGCAAAAAGAAAAAATACAAATACGTCTTCCCAGACGCTCCCAAACAGTCGTTGGTCAGACCCCTCCATCTGAGGCTCCAAAACAGTGGTGGTCACACCAAAAACCAGCCAGGTCACAGGTAGGCGTAGTCAGGTCGGTCCTCGAAACGCAGGCTGCGGCAGTAGTTCAGGTAGGTGGCCTCGTTCGAGGCTCCACGCGGGTCACCCAAAACCCAACAGCTCCGATCCACAGCTGACCCAGTGACCGACGGCACGGACGAGGGAGTCCGCTGAGGTGCACGGTAGAAAAAGATGATCGGACCGCCTACCGTGATTCGGTGGGTTGGCCTTGATCCTTTTTTTGGGGGGGAAGTTTGGGTTCCCCCACATTTAGACCAACCAGTGGGAAAAGGGCCGGCCGCACTTGTAAAGGGTAGGCGGCCTATGGATGCGTTTGGGGTCAGACCGCCGGTTTCACGGTCCATACTTCTCAGTCCTTAAATGAAGGTTCGAAATGGTGGCCGCGTTGAGCAGTCCATGAGCCGCGCCTTTCACTCTACATTCCCTCTCTCGGCTGAACGTTGGTGAAAACGGTTGCTCAGTGAAGGAATCACCCATTGATTCTGAATGGAGTCCAAGCATAAATACCCAGGCAGTCTTGGTTACCACGAGAATAAGTAACCAAGGTGCTAAGGTTGGAACCACAGGTTCCGGGCTGATGATAGTGGTAACTGGACTCCATCGGATGGCGTATACTGACGCTATTTTTCTTTAGCCATGTGTTGCGTCAACCATTCACAGTCAGCCCCCCCCGCCACCGCTGGAGTCAGAGTGAACCAAGAATACACTAATGTTTGTATTGATTGATCTTTTTTGTCGAAAGAACAAGCTGTTTCTCCGAGTTTTGGTGGACAAACTAGGGATGCTGGGTTGTTAACATGAGTTGTTTCCAATCAAACTTTGTCTTGATTGATTCGACTTCTATGATCTCAAAGAACCAGTTTCGGTTGCTGAATTGGATGGTTCTGCTCAAGAAATCTTTGCTGCAAAAATCGAAGAAGGTAGTCCGTCGACTCTCTACTCTCTCTTTCGATTGGGCCTTCTGATCGCCCTGGGCCCCGCACAAACTCACAAGGGAAATGCTTGCACAAGACCTGCCACCGACTCCAAGTCCGAGGTCGTTCAAAAGAACAGCGGACGCAAAAGAGCCACCGGTGTTTTGGAGGCAAAAATGAACATGAAGATTCTTCCACCGAACCTCAATCTCAGGTCCATCGACTTTTCCTGGGGGGGGCGTAGGCCAGCTAAACATCAAGTCTTCAGCTGAGCTTGATGGATGTCATGACATCAGCCCGGAAGCGTTTTTGGGCCATTTCGGAGGTCCGTTGGTGGTTTCCAGACGGTGGGGAGCAGAAGCAGCGTCCTCGCACGAAGCAATTCCACACATTTTAAGGGAGTTGCGAACACCAAAATAGGCAAAAAGGGATCTAACTAGATCAACTAGATCAAGCGGATGTGTTCCATTTTCAAGCCTTCCGGTCTTCCTGCAGTCCAGTGCCAGCGAAGCGCTGGAAGAAAAACCCTCCGACTCTCTGGCGTTGGTGTGGTTCCTATTTGTGTGAAGGGCGTGCCTCGATGGGTGTGGACATCTTCTTCTCCATGATCTTCTCGTACTTCCTCAGTTGGACCCCCGTGAGGGTGCATGGAGGATGGAGGGATTGGTCCAGTTCTGCGGGTTGTGTCCCCTTCCCTACGGTGGTTGGCCCCAACGGGTTGGCCAACGTCCAACTCATCCAACCTCCTTAAAGTTTTTCCTACAGTCCAAGCCACAAAATGGATTCCCTTTAAGTTATCATTCCAACTCCTCCAAAGTTCTCGGCCCTCGGCTTGCCCCACAAATTCCTCCCCAAACCACAAAAAGCCATAATATGTCATACGAACCATGACTTGCCGGGCTTAGCGGCCAAACTTCTACTCTACTGGGAGTATTTGAACTGCCAACCTTCAATCAAACCTCGGAAAAGCTGCATATGAAGAAGAATCAACCAGTTCCCGTCGGTACGTTGGCTGGAAAAAGACCTCAGAGTCCTGCCTTCCGTCAGAGTCCTCCAGTTTCTCAAACCCTTCAAGAAACACCAAGTTCCTTCAGTTCCTCTAGATGTATCTCAAATTCTGAGCCACCAAAGCCCAAGCCACCAGGACACCGGCCACCCCAGTTCGTTCCAGCCACCCCAGTTCGTTATGGCCAGGCACTCCTTCTTTGAGTTGGCCTTCAAGCCCTGCCACGGCAAGCTGCCACGATTGAAGTACATGAGCACCTCGGCAAACCCGAAGATCACAGCACGTGCCCCCGCCGATCAACGAAGCACCCGGTGCGGCACTCCCCAAAACGCCCCGAAAAACGAGTCTGGAAACCCAATCACAGAAAGAAATGCTTGGAACCCAATATCACAACAAGTGGTGGCGAACCGGGGAAACATCCAGAACTCTTTCTGGTTTCTGGGGAAAGAAGCCTCCCTCCAGGCCAGTTCCCCCGCCCCTCGCACCTCCCCTCCGCCCTCGTCGGCGCCCGACCGCCGCCGTGTGCCGAGGGGACGCGCGAGACCGAGCGGACAGAGACGATTTCAGGTGTGGAGTGCGGGGAGGGGGCCGGGGGGGTGGCCAAATGGAGAGCGCCAGATATAGATCCTGCATGTTTACGTGAAGGTCGCCCCCAACAAGTTCAGTTCGATGTTGCAGCGCCCTTTGGCCTCATGAAAGTCAAGGAGATTAAAGGAATGTTCCTGTTGGGATCACCCAAAGAGCATGTTTAAAGTCTTGGACTGCCAGGGGGTGTCCAATAGCTCCAGGAAGCAGGTTCAAGGCATCTGAGGGGCATAGCCAACGGCTTCCAAGTCATCTCGTCGACTCTGCTCGATGCCCAGATGCGTATTGACCTGGTCTGCAGGAGGCCCAGGGCAACAGAAGATGCACACCATGCACTATTCTAATCAAAGCTCTGTCCACAGGTCAGGAGGATAAGCCATGATAAGCCATGATACACGGCAAAGGAGGGCAAATTGGCAATTGAAAGAACCAAGAGAATGCAAAGAGATAAGCATCACCCGAAAGTGTCCTTTTGATCTACGTCCACGCTGCCCTCCAACGAGTTTGAACTCTGGACATGGTGAAGATGGAATTTGATGAACAGGGTGACCTGATGTCAACATGAGAATAGACACACCTTGGAAGCAGCTGGTATCGTCATAGTCTAATAGAAAGACGATGTTGTAAAGTAACGAATGACTAGGCGGTTCCCGCTCCCTTTCAGCACTTGAAATCAATTGATCCCTCCAAATCCCACTCCTGAGGGGCCGACGCTGGCATACCTCGCAGTTCCTGTCAAGGCCTTGTTCTCTCTGTAAGGGATGTGCTGCTGAGTCTTGGGATCCCTGCCGGTCGTCGGCCAGTCGGGAAGCCGGTCATCGGTCGTCCGTGTGGGGAAGGGGACGGGGGCACATATGGATGCCTGCGGACGTCCAGGTGCTCTGGATCTTTTTGGCATGTCTGGACGTGAAGCAGGAGGACCCGTCCGACCAGAGCATGTTCTCGAAGCATCCGGAAAAAGCCATGTCACATGAATGTCAACCGTTCTCCAACTCTTCTGCCCTCAAACCATCTCTGACCCAAAGCGGATACAATAGGCGCAGTATGGGATGATGACTTCAGGGAAAGCACGGCACTAATATATTTGATTCTCGCATCAAGAATCAAAACAGTCTGGACATGGCGAGAAATCAAGGCATGTCCTTTCTGGGTCGATCAGGTATAGGTCATTCCCCGATCAGATCCAGATCCGGGGACCAACGCGGAGAACCCGGACAACTTCTCCGACGCATGCGGCGCGGTTCCGCCCCCCCGTGCCATGCGAAGGCAAACCATAAGGCTTTCTGGACGTGGCACGTTGGAAGAGACACCGTAGTTCAGAACAGCCAGGACCAGGACGTTTTTCATGTTGATAAGATACATGAAAAGCGTCCATCAGCAGTTCAGAAAAGCTCCCGCAGTCGAAAGAATGCTTGGGATTCACGCCGAGCACGAACCGGCACCTCGTCCACCACGGTCGAACCGGCTGCCGGCTTACCCGACTAAAGCTCCGTCGGCTGATACAGCCTGTACTTCTTGGCCAGTCCAAAGTCGATGATGTGCACTTGATTGGCCTGGTGGGTGGGGAGCGTGGCGGATTTCGGCTTCTTATGGGGAAGACCACGCTGGATCGGATGAGATAGGGTTTGAAAGGAAGCAAGCAAATGAAAGGATGCTAAAGGTTTTAGAACCAACTGCTATCAGTGTTCTGAGGGGCAAAGGAGGTCTCTGTCTTTTCGAGCTCCGGTCGTCCCAAATCTGCATCCCCAACATCTGGAAAAACAACCATGGCATCCAAATCCGCAAGCCATCGCATGCCGCACCGAGCAAAGGGTCACCGACAGGGCTCGCCCTGTCCCAACTAGGAGGATTGAACACTCAAAGCATCGAACGAACATAAAGGGTATGTTGACGCCTATCATCTTAGTGAACCTCTATGTCTTCCAAAAAACAAACGCGTTCGCATCCATTCGCGCTCTTGCCCACAGTTGGCTGCCTTCTTTCCCAATCCGATCAGGAAATTGTCGGGCTTGATGTCCCTGTGAATGAAGTTCTTGGCGTGCATGTACTCCACCCTAGCAGGGTGGAACGCTGTACCCAGGTGAACGGTCACGCTGTGTGGAGAGATCCAAGTCATCTAGATGTGCTGCTGTCCACCGTTTCGTCCCGTCAAGAAGGAGGGCCCGACACCAGTTGGGTTCTTTTGCAAACTGGACATCCTTCCTCCCCAAACTCTTCTCATCTTCCAACACGAACCTCCGTTTTCAACCCTTAGTGGGGCCCAGTTCAACCCTTCCTCCCTGACGACACCCAACACCCCAACCCAACGAACCGGCCCCAACCAACACCGCTTGTATTAATTATGTATCATAAATCTGAGTTTAACTTTGCTTCTTTACAACAACCACAACGAAAAGAGCCTCCGCTCAAACGAGCCACAAAACCACACACTCCAGCTTAAAAAGCGCCAACCAAAGAAAAAGCAGGCCAAGCCGAGGCTTTTCCTGCTGCCAAGCTGCCTGTTGATCATCTGGTCGGCCAGCATGAGCGTGGTCTTCAAGCTGAACTTCCGGTTACAAAAGCTAAACAAATCCTCCAAGGATGGTCCTAAGAGGTCAATGACCTCAGCCGGCTCGCTGCGCTGAGCTGTCCCACGTGTCACCGCCCCACCTGAAGATCGGGTGGTTTACAGCGGCGCGGTTGGTAGAAAGAAGGAATGGGGGCTTTCCATGGTTTTTCCAAGGAGAGAACCACGGCCTTGGGCAGAGAACAACTGGTTCGTGCGAAGTGAGGGCCATCTGTTCCATCTGTTCCATCTCATGGGACTCGATCACCTTCTTCTCGGTTTCCAGCGGCCCGGTGCGGTCTCATGCGGCCCAAGAGACCATCACGTTGTAGTCACCCTCCACGCCATACCAGTGGACGTTTGGCACACCAACGCCTCCTGTTGATGGAAAACCCGCTTCTGCATGTGTTGGCTGTCTTTCGGATCTAAACATCGTAACTGCTTGAATACAGTCCATCGTGCCTGTTTGCACGCAAACATGGAAACGGCCGTGAGTCAAAAGGATGATAAGGAAGATTCCGAAGATGTAAGATCATGTCCTCATAGACTCTAAACTATAGATCTGACAGTGAGAGGGGATTCTCATGGATTGTCCATCTCTATGTTAGCTCCGTTCAACCCCCCTTCATCGGCTTCATGCAATGATCGCTATAGGATCCATAGCTTAGGCTTCTTCGCGCCTCGCCTGAGTCCTTCACCCCGAAACCCACGGGCGCCTGCGAGGATCTTGTACAGCTTCGACTCCTCGGTGCCGCACGGACGGTCCGCACGGCCGGGTGGGCGGTGCGAAAGGTCCGAAATGGCCTTTGGGTCCAATGCCCGGAACTTCAATCGCTGGATCATTGCGGAATCCGAACTTTCGTGGGATCGTGTGTGGATCATGGTTCCCTTTGATATCTGTGCGCCAATTGACGATGGCTCATCGGCAACCTGTGCCAACATCGTCCCCAAAGCCCCCAGATGTCCCACCTTCGCAGGGTCGGACCGAGAGAGAGAGAGAGAGTGTTAGAATTAGAATTGGAATTAGAATCAGATTTGTAGATTAGATTTAGATTAGAGATGATTGGATTAGATTGTATAGTGTTCAATTGGCATGTCGCTCGGTCTCTTTCGGCCTGCTTTGCTGAATGGCCCAGAGTGGCTTGGCACTTCGGCCGCTCGAACCGGCTGCTGACGCATCCCGCATCCCGTTCGGCGTGCCGCAATGGAATGGTGCGCATGTCTCTCGAACCAAGGATGGACGGATCGATGAACTGCGAAAGGATAGAGAGAGATAGAGAGATCGAGAGATAGACAGAGATAGACAGAGATTGATGAAAGGAAATCAGGGATTAAATAGAGAGATCGAGAGATAGAGATAGACAGAGATAGAGAGAGAGAGAGATGTATACCAGCACCCTCACTTCCAGGTCACCACCCACCAGTTTACGTCGGAGACCCACATCCTACAGCCAGGTCCCAAAAAGTCTGCTGGATGTGCTGGGTCCAGTTACGTCCTGAGGCTCCAGACATAGAGCAGCTGAGGGTGCTTTGACTTGATGGACTCCAGTTTGATGGCCACCTCTTCGCTGGTCTGCACCTGATGGAGCACGGAGGACTGGGTTTTTTATTGGTCGAGCACGAGGACGGGGGGGGTTCTTGTGGGACCTGGAGACCAGGCAAACCAAGGAAACCTAGAAAGAAGAAGAAGAAGGAGAAGAAGAAGAAGAAGCCAAGGTGGTTGTGAGTTTCCGCCAGCCTGCCCCAAATCCACTGCCTCCATTCAACAATCCTGCCCCTATATAAACACATTGGAAGCACTGCCAATTCCCCAGCAGTCATCACGATCCCGGTTTCCCATCAGCCACAACGGCCCTTCCATGTATATAGGTCTCTAGCTGTAAAAGATATGCCAGTGGATCCCAGTTTCCACTATTAAGGAACCATGGGATTCTAGGTCTATGGGTTTACTCTTTGGAACCACTGGTTACCAGCTATAGTGGTAACTGGATGCCCTGGGTATTGGATGCTTAACTGCTTTTTCATCCTCGCCCCCCAAAAGCATCGCGTCACCGGGTGAGCCGCAGATCCGAGCCGGATCTCCGAGCCGGGTCACCCAACTTGACACCTGTTGGTTTGGACTGGGACCCTCTGCAGTTTGGCCAATCCCCCCCAAAAGGTTTTGCCCATTTTAGCTGCATCCGTTGGCACCCATGAGTCCTCACCCCCCCTCCAACCCCTCCAACCCCTCACTCCAACCGGGCACGTTGGTGCCGATGTAGATGTCGCCGAAGGAGCCCGAGCCGATCTTCCGGCCGAGGCGAAACTTTCCTCCCACTCGAAGCTCCATGACCTTCCCCACCCAGCCATCAGCGGAGGAGGAGACAGGAGACCGGGATCCGTTAGACAGGGTCCGTCACTTGACAGCACTAGACCATGAAAAAAAAGAGAGAGGAGACATCTGCAGAGAGTGGCAAAAGCATGACTTCCAAACCTCACGCATTCAAACATAGGGAATTTGCTCCGTGTTTGCTCCGCCTTCCGGACGTTTTTGCATCATTGAAAGTCTTCTCGGCGATGGAAAGAAAACATGGAAAACCTTGAGGTTGAGCACCAAACACCCAATCGCCCACCACCGACCATTCCCCAGCACCGCATCACCCACCCCCATCGCCCACCCTTCACCCTTCACCCGCTTCGCACCTCCCAACAGGGAAGGTGCCCCTTTGCTGAACAAACCGAACCACCCTCCCAGAACCTCACTTCCGCCACTTGCGCCAATCCATTCCTTCCTCCTCGAACCGGCAGCAGCCGAGCCGCTCTTTTGGCTGGTTCGAACCTCCCTCTTCTCCGCCCCGAGTCGAGTCGAGTCGAAACTCACCGGTCGAGTCGAGGCCTCGAGATCCTTTTCTGAGAATGTCTTCACAACCACGGAACCCTCTGGAGCCGAGATGTACCGTGCTCCGCGGCGAAGGTCAAGACCGCAAGGCGGCGAAGGGTGGACTCCGTCGAGAAAGAAACACATCGATGTGAGTGTCAAAACGGAAATGGACAAGGATGAGGTTTAGGGTTTAGGGTCGAACCAGGATCCAAGACCTGGTCCAAAAAAGACTCCAGAATTGCGAAAGCCTGAGATACACTCCCCGAAATCATGGAAGTGGATGGCACCACTTGTTTGGTCTTCGGAATCGTACCATATATCATTCCTTTCCTTTCGGGGTCATGTTCCATCCACGTGGCTACGTGATTCTTCCTTTGGGGAGTATCATGTAACGATGATCAGATGCAAACTAGTAGCTTCTTGTGGGGGTTCAGGGTGGATCTTGGGATCGTACTCCCCTCATCCTCCCAACAGTTTGCCTGTTCAGGAGCTTCCGAAAAGCACGACATGAGACTTTGAGGGGGTGAATGCACAGAAGTTTCAGAGTTGATGGCACAAACCCAGAAGTTTTGTCGTCGATACAGTAGATCATTTCGGAGTATGTTGAAAAGCCCTTTGACTTCAGACCACCTCACTGCACGCAAGATTCTGATTCCCTGACAACTTCCAACCGTAAAGCTGCTTCCCGGCGGGCCTAATCGTGCGATCGAAGCGCAAGGCGTTCAGGTTCTTCGCTATGCAAGTGGCCAAGTTGGGAAACACCTAGAAATGCTCAAGTATCCATATTTGGAGGAGGAAATACTGTGGCACGGTATGATTGAATGCTTCTGCTGACCATGGTACTTTCCTGGTTCTTTCCTGGTTCTGGATTGCCATGTGCTTAGGCTATTGCAGCTTGTAGCATATTCGGATATATGAATGATATATTTGGCATCTTCTGATACTGCTCGAGCACAGCAGTTCCCGGGCAGAGACTTGATGATGTGGATGCGCAGCTTGCTGCAGAAGAGGGTATTAAGATCATCTAGACTGTCAACAAAAAAGAGAAACATAAATAACATAATGTGTTTACATCATCTCGGATCATCTCAGGGGGTTGACTCATGAACAGCCAACATTCGGTGCTGAAGGTCACCAGATGGATCTATAAAATGGATGCACCTGGATCCATGGAGAGTTCAAGTACCTTGGTCAAACACCTCATGTTTCTTGTTTACTTTTTTTAAAAGGATCGCTGGATTCCTGACCAGTTCATCCAGCGATCCTTTGGGGTGGGTTGTCTTCAGACTTCTACTTGGCTTCTCAACACACCCCTAGTGACCGATAAAAGCTCCTGTCCTTTTCATCGCGGCAAAACGGTCACGGGCGGTTAAAGCTTGCTGCATGGGATTTGGGGCGCACAGCACAGAAAAGCACAAGACATGCCTTGTGACTGCTAGTGGACTGCGAAAGAAGAAACTACAGCCAGTGATTACTCTGAGACAAAGTAGACGATCGAAGAAGGACGAAACACCTCCACAAATCTTCCGCACCGCTATGGGCTGTCACGACATGTAAATGTGCATCTTCTCCGTCGTTGAAGGTGGGTGGATGCTCGAGATATCGTCAGCGTGCTGCTCAGGTGCTGTGATGCCCCCACGAATGGATTCACTACACCGAGCTGTTCTTCAGCGGCACAGCCAAGACTCGCGCGCTATGTAAACGGAATCGGTTCCACCCCTGCACACCCGCATCGGTTGGGTTGTCCCGATGGTTCCAGTCTGTGAGTCGAATGTGGCGATCAAAAGTGGACCGACTTGCAACTCTGGTCCCCGTTGATTGGCGAGAAGGTGGCGTTCAACCAAGTGGTATGAACATCACGAGCTCAAGAGGGTCTGTGAAACGCGCATCACATGGGATAACTGCTAGTGGGGATAACCTCGGTCTTCTTGGACTGCCGAGTGGGAGGATAACCCAACACGTTGCGCCACGTGCGTTGGTGCAACATGATCAGATGCGTCGGATCAGACAAAGGACCCCCACATGTCTTTGAAATTCAATGGAAAAACAACAACGTTAGAACCGGTCGCTCGGTCGCCCAACGCAGCTTTTCTACGACTGCAGCTAGGGCATTGAAGACGATATCTAAAAAAAGACATACGTACGACATGAACAAATCGACATCATACGACCGTAGTTGAGTTCACCAATTCTTTGCAAATGAGGAACTTTGAGTTCACCAGTCCTTCACTGCCAGGAGCTTCAGCGATCTGAAGCTCGGCCTAGGCCTTCCGCTTGATTCGGCCGCCAGAGGTCAAGTGTTTGTTGATGAAGTCGCTCCGGAGCATTTCTCGGTACTCCTGTGAGCACCATGCATGCACAGGCTGAAACCGTGCCGTAATCAACGCGGCATGCCAAACAAAACACGTTTCATTGTTGGGAATATAGACCAAAAGCATCCAAAATCCATGTAAGACTCGTTTGACTTCAATTGTCTACAGTCTACAAGAAACTCTGCAGGGCAGATGCTCCTTTTAATGTTAAAACAAATGAGGATCCTGACTGTGTTCTTTGAGCTATCACTGGGTCACAAGCTCGCTTGGATTCCGTCGTTTCGGCTGCTTCAGGGTCAAAGATCGCCCAAGGGATCCGTCGGCCCAGCACTTCCAAGCCCCAAGAAATGAACAAGAAAAAAAACAAAAAACAATTGTCATTCCCATTGCTATTAAACTATATAAATTAGGATCTATTAGGAACGAAATAATAGGAATGGCCTCCAACCTTAGTGGGAATAGGCTCCAACCCAATAGGAATGGCCTCCAACCTAAATGAGAATAGCTTCCAACCGAATAGAAATGGCCTCCATAGTCATCGGAATGGCCTCCAACCTCATAGCGATGGCCTCCAACCTATAGTGATGACACACCTCGGTCCCCCGATCCAAGACCTTTCCCGTCCATCCGGCCTCAAAGGATCCTTCGAAGACGGTGACCTTGCCGGGCACGTCCTGCGGTCGGCGTCTCTGCGTTGGTTTCGGGAAACACGGTGACCGTCCGAAACTGCCAAGAGTGGTGGAAGTGACCTGAAAGGGCTCTACTTGGGGTACCTGCTGGTACCGATGGGAGAGTCTACAAGCTCCTTCAAGACTCTGCATGTCCCATGGCCAGAGCACGTTTTCTTCGTTGGGGTCATGGCAGATGGTGGACTGGTCCAAGATTGAACGACCTATCTTAGGAAATGGCCTCCAACATACTAGGGGTGGCCTCCAACCTAATAGCAATTTGGTTCTGCTGGTCGTTTGCTGAAGTTCACTGCGCCCCGATTTGGCAGGTTGCTTCTGGCCCCTTGGAGTGTCGCCAGCTTCGTGAACCAGTCACGAAGCTGGCAGTGGTTGGCTGTGACGAAGCCAAGCGGACCAGTAAAGGGCGGACAAGAACGAGTGGTGCCACTTTGGAGATGCATCTTCAGACCCCCAAATAGATAGAAAAGATTAGAACATAGTAGATCCATCCCCCTTTTTGGATGTATCGGAATCCGTGCCACCATCGATGATTTGGGGTCTGTGCTTCTGTGCCCCATCTCCATCTCCCAGGATCTCCGGATCTCCGGATCTCCTTCGAAGGTCCAGGGGTCACCACCCAGAGCTCATCCGCCACCATGGAGACCTCGGTGTGTGGTGTTCCATCGACTCCCTTGTTCTACTGTAGGGAGTGGGAACCAAGAAACCAAGCTGCCACTCCTGCCACTGGGCGCCCTGGCCAGGCGGTCATCGTGGCTCACTAAGACTACACCACCCTGGCACCGGCAGGATCGGCGGCACGACGGAGGGACCTGGACTCATGCAGCTCAAATGGGCCCCAAATCGGCCAAGCCATAGCAAGCCACCTGGGAGATGTTGACAGTTTTGAAGAAGGCCCGAGTTGCCTTCAACTTTGTCAGAAAAACTCGGGGGTGCTAAAACTGCTGAAACTGCCTGCGCGCAGGTGGCGACTTTAAACACTTAAAAGAAAAAACTCTTCTGCCAGCACCATTGGTGATTCACGAAAAAGACCCCTTCGGTCTTTGAAACGGCATGCCTCTGGGGAAATCCTGAACTTTGTGAGCACCAAACGAAAAGCATCGACAGAACAGTGCCAGCGCTGAAAAAAGAAAGCGTCTCCAGGTGCCCAAAAGGCGACCAACCAGTCCAACCAGTTGGTCCACCAATCGAACGAAAGGTTTGCCGGCACCAACATGCACCAACTAAGGACGATCTTTCGATGTCTTTAGTACTGCTCCAGCAACCTGCACTGCAGGATGTCACGATGTCCCTATGCCCCATCAATCTTCCGGTCGGCCAAGCAAAACGCCTGCCAATTCCTTCCACCACCCCCCAGGTGTCTTCCGCCGAAAACGGACCGACTGTTTGAGTGACTCCTCCGTGTCTGGCGCAGAAAGTGCCGGACCTCGAACTTGTTGAGGGCCATGGCTAAGCCCTCGATGGTTTCGAGGTCCAGATGGTTGGTGGGCTCGTCCAAGAGCATGATGTGAGGGGAGGACCTGCAACGTGTTGGAAGGCAACAAACATCCCACTCGCCAGACATCCCAAACCCATCCAAGGCCCAAGAGGGGTGTGCGGTGTGCGGGTCATGGAACAACTCCAACACGGTTCAAGGTTCTTTGATGTTCTTTCAGTGTTTCCATAATTTGACATGACGTGCATGTGTTTTTGTTGTTTTATGTTCAAACTCCAACAAATGTATTGATTACCCGGTGAGAGGCCTGTACCATGTCGGACCTTTGGGGAGGCTTCAACATCACCCGTTCTGCTCGCTCCGTCCGTCGGTCATCCACCGAGACCGTGTGACTGGATTGACCTGCGAAACTGCCAGACCTTCACTGCGAGACCTTGCGGGTATATGTGGTGATTGAAGAAATCCTTCTGAATCTCCCAGAGCTCGAAGTTTTGAGTCATGTATTGCTGCGCTCTGCTGCCGCTGCTGAGAGCCGAAATCTCGCGCGGCAAACCTGGCAAACTCGACGTTCAAAAACCGCCACCCCGCATCTTCCCGCGCGCTTCTCTTCTCTCTCAATCCGAATCCTCCTCGAAGAGGGTGCCCGTGCCCTCGCACTTCATCAAGCACGACATGTTGCTGTAAGCATGCAAGGTCTGCGGAACGGAGCTCATGCAAACACCTGCTATGCACATGCGTTTGCCTGCTTCCAGCAAGGGGGAGCACGCGTGGCTGTCGTATAAGATGATCGTCCATCCTCACGCGCACGCTGCCGACCACAACCACTCTACAGGGACATCTAATTTGCCAAGCTACTACTGAAAACTGGCACCTACATAGCAGTCCATACAAGGACCAAAGAGTTTCACTGGGCTTCGGGCGCTCTAGATATCTCACGAGATACTACCTAGCTGAAAGTCCCGTACACGCGTCGCCGTCAGAGATGCGAACCAACCGACGCGTCTTGCCCTCGCCGCCGGAGGAGACTGCGCCCAGCTTGACGACTTTGAAGGTGCAGGACAGGTAGCACTTGCCGTCTGGCGCCGGACCGACAGGCAAATCTCCTAGCTCCATCACATCAAAGCTCGCCAACGGATATTTGGGCGCTTCGGCATGCGTCGTCAGCAGGTGAATGGCAGACCTCGGCGAACCCATGGCTCCCACCCGCACAGTGGGTTGCGTTGGCCCGCGGTCCAAACCCTACCCGCACATATCTCTCTGCATGCAAATCTCCAAGCTGGACCCCCACACCACCCTTTCGATGCCAAACCACTGGATACCATCACGCCGACGTTTCGGCGCCGGCAGGCTCACGGATATTTCCCGGCTGCGTAGGCCACTCACCACCCTTGCCCCGGCTCTTGGCGGAGGCGAGGGCCCCCTTGCCCCTGTACAGAGGCACGTCTTCCGCGGGCTTTCCCTTGCCTCCCGAGGACGATTTCCCCTTACCCCCCGCAGCGCCCTTGGCGCTCATCGCTTCCATGCAGTGGAGCAGATCTCGCGCAAACAACGCACGCGCGCCGCACACGGCGCGCCCGCAAGCAGCGAGCCCGCACCGGCATGGGACGTACCATGGCTCCGTCGCACCGCGAGGGCGGCCGGGAAGATCGGGTGCAGAAGCCCGGACTGCCTGCGCGTCATCGGGGGCAACTCTCGGCCCCGACGCCCGTTCGTCCCCGCCTGGCGCCGCGGTCAAGGCCAAGAGCATCTTCTCGAGGTTTTCACGCTTGCCTCCCAAGTCGAATTTGCGACGCACGTCGTGCTTGCGCAGGAGGAGACCCGCCATCTCCTGCGAGCGGGCATCGAGACAAACCAGAAGAAGAGGAGATCGAGGGAGCCATCCATGCACTAGCGACGACACACACTCACTCACTCACTCACTCACTCTCTCTCTCTCTCCCCGCGCCGCGATGCCCTTCCACAGGCTTTCCGCGAAGGGCAACGTCGCCATCAACCGATCTGGCGGGCCCCGCGCGCAGGAATGATGTTTCTTCGATCGTCTCCACATCTCCGAGGCTCGCGCGCTTCGCCGCCGCCTCGAGAGACGCACGCACACGCACGCGCACACGCACACGCGCGCAAAAGCCGAGCCGGAGACTGCTTCGCGGTCAGGGCTTCCTCGAACTCCTTGCAGACGGGGCTCGCCTCGGAGTCGTATTTGAACCTCAGCGCAAAAAAACAAAAAAAAGCTAGTTCGCTCGCAACAACGACAACGACAACCTCCGAGCCGGTCGCTCGTAGTACTTCGCGGCGAGGTTCATGATGCCAAACAAAGCGGGTGGGGGCTTGCTCGAGAACTCAGCAGATAGAGCCCCGACCCCTTCCCCGGCAGCTGCCAGGCGGCGGCGCGCATCGACTTGACCGCGGTCTCTCCGCCGCACCGCATCTCGACCCTCTCCGCCTCGAGCCCGCTTAGGGGCGGGCTCCACAGCGTGATCCTCCCCTCACTCCACGCCAGGGCAGCATCACCTCTCTGCGCGCGGTGAGAATAACAAGGAGTTCAGAGAGCTTTGCGAAAGCATGCCTCTGCCTCCTCTGCAGTTGCCCCAGGTTTCCGCCCTGGAAGCCTTGGGGCGCCGTCAGAAGCTCGGTCGGGCCAACGTTCGCGAGCTTGCCCCGATCATCCTGCAGGCCTACGCCGCTGCAGGTCTGCAAGGGGCTCGTCGAGGCGGGCATCTATTCCTCCGTCCCGGGCGGCAACCGGCGCCGCACCTGGCACGGGTGCAAACACGCTCTTGTGCGACTGAGCGGGTGTCCGGAGCGAACCGTTCACCTGTTCGTCCGGCACTGGCTGGCTGCGATGGAGCCGGTGTTCGTGGCAAAGCTGAGGGAGAAGATCGAGACGCACCCCTGCGAGAGCTACTTTGCCTGAGGACATGCCGAGTTTTTGAAAAACAAGGAGCGCGCGCGAGGGAGAAGGCTCTTGTCGAAGCGGATAAAGAGAGAGAGCAACGGAGAGAAAGCCAGCCCACCGGGAACCGATCGCCGCCGCTACAGACTCTCCAACGGGAGCGGGCACCCCTTCTTCTGGCATCCTTACATGTGAGCCGAGACAGACCGAAAAAGCGAGCTAGAGACTCGAGCTTCGTTTTTTCTTGAGAGGCAGATGTCGTTTTGCGCGGCGCAGCATGCATGTCTCGCCCGTGCTTTTTTTTGGGGGCTCGAGTCTCTCGCCCCGCCGCAGTCTTAGAAGCACCCGGCCCAAACCCGGAATTTCACCTGACCATGGCGCTTCTTGCGAACAACGAAGCAGCAGCCCAGGAGGCGGGACGCGCGAGATATTGGAGCGCAGTATTGCTGTTGTTCTTGTTGTTGCGGCTCGCAGGCCGGAGAGCAGATGGAGGACCTGGAGGACGATTGTCCAAAAGGATAAATGAAATATATTAACTCCTCAACATGAACCTACTAGCTGGTATAGTTTCTTGTTACTAGTAGTAATGGCCTCCAACCTAATAGCGATGGCCTCCACCGTGCGTAGCTTCTTGTTCCTGTTTTCGTCTCCCAAAAACTCCTCAAGCTCTTTTTCTCCATCCACTGGAATTCCCCGCCGAAAGTCCGAAGTCTCCCCCGACCGGGCTGCCCTGCCAGGCCAGTTCTGCAAAGGCTAACCGACTCTTCTGCCCTCCGCTGAGGAACCTCCCAGCTGCCGGACCCGCGGACAGCGCACCCGAAAAGCGCACCCCGGAAGCGCAGAGTGAAACACATGGGAAGCGTGATGGGCAGATGATCTCCGGAAGTGCTCGGGGGGGTTTTGTGTTCAACGAAAGTAGAGGAAAAAAAACAGAAGTGCTTCGAAGTCCGTGAACGTGGTTGTTCTCAGATGCTGAAGCTTGCAGCTGGACAATCGTGGACTCAGGATGACCCAAGTGAGCTTCACACGATGTTGGGGATACTTCTACTAAGAGACCTCCGCATCCCTGTCCTTCTCTTCGTCCTTCTACTTGGTTGGGTGGATTTCACCACCCAAAAAAAGGCGAACCAACAACGACCCAAAAAACACCACCTCCTTCTCCACCACACGTCCTTCCCCACGACCCCATGGTTGGCCCCCCCCGGCTTCACCGGCTGCAGCGCTAGGTCGCCGTGGAGGCCAAAACGGCCCAGGTATTTCCGCGCCTGCGGCCCCCGCGGCCGGACGTGGGGGCGCCAGCTGGACATCCGGAATTCGTGGTGTTGGTAAGTGTCCATGGATATCTTGTGGATCTTTAGGAAAATCCTCAAGAAAGGTGACTCAAGGGTATGATACTGAGAAATGGTGGTTTTTTGAGAGAGTTCGGCATACGAAGCAAAACCCACAAGCCAACCCGCCAAGCCACCAAGCCAAATACCCAAAGCCCATAAAAGCCCAGGTCCTGGTGGATGCCATGGCGCCTTGAGAAGCTCGAAACCTTCGAACCCCTGGGCCGAACAAGTGTGCAGACAACTCTCTGGACTCCGTTTGCAAAGAAAACCTGCCGCATCCACACCCCGCGTCACCCGGCGTCCACCACGGCAGGAAACGGCACCGGCATGTTGCACCGACCCCAAAACGCCGAACAGCGCGCGCCTCCTCCACGGTGACCTCACTCGTGCCGTCCTCTTTGATCCCGCCCGAGCCCAGCTTCCGCATGTGGGTCACCGCGTCCGAGTCCTCGCCATGGAACGTGTCGGGGGGGCGTTTTTGCGGGGGGCTTCAAAAAGGGACTAAGGTGTGGTGGTGTTTGGATGTGTCCTGGTGTTTGGAAAGACCAGTTCAGACACAGTCCAATCCCGCGTCACGGCCGGTTCCTGTGTGAAGGAGCGAGGGGACCGAAAAAGCACCTACATGGACCATCGTGGACCTACACAACAGCTGACCGTTGGTTCACATTGCTTGCAAGTCACGGGGCATCGTGCAGCTTCACCAGTGAGTGAAACGCGGATCTTTTCAAATTGCTGACAGGACAATGTCTTCTGGATCCTTTTCTGGCCGTTTGTAGCTGCTTCGATCAACAAGACACATATATCACTTGCACAGTCCAAAAGAAGACATCTTCAACCATCCGTGGGCGGGGGGGTTTTCAGGGGCGGATGGGATCCCGCCTGATGATGCAGTCCAAAGATCAACAGAAATCAGCAGATGTGGACCCCCAAGACCCCCAAGACCCCCAAGACTCCCGATGTTGCTTCGGGTCCGGACCCCCCCGTTTCGGGGTCGGGGTCCACGGGATCGGGATCTGGGTCAGAACAAGCTCTCCCTGCGTTGGAGAACGTCTCGTCCGTTCTCGTACGCCATGCTGAGGAGAGGACAGGATCCATCATCTCAATGTGATGCTGAGTGAACCTCAATGGGTCGCCAGAAACACTTGGGTGTTGAAGTTTAGAGGAGATGAAGTAGGCTCAAAATGAAACCAAAAGTAGATGAGAAATCGCTGGGTTTAGTTTCGGAATACCTACAGTGGATGAGATTTTGCTGTTAACCATCACTGTTTGGTGAGTGGACCCATATTCATGTCCACCCAATCCACGAACATACGAATTTGGACCATCCCTCGGATACAAACCCAGAAGCCCACAATTGGCAAGAAGCCAAATTGTCCATGTTCTCATTTCGAAGGATCTCCAACTCAATGGATCCCGTTACCACTCATTGGAGTAGGTTACCAGTGGTTCTAAAGACAAAAAATAAATAAAGAAACTGCAGACTGTAGACCCACCCAGGGCCTCTGGAGACCCACCCAGGGCCCCTGGTTCCCTATAGTGGCTGCTAAAAACCTCACCAGTCGTCAGCTCATCAGTCGTCGGTCTCTGTCAGCTCTGCAGGTCTCGGCGGCTTTTCTTCCTCACGCCTCCAAATGTTTGGGAGACCCCAGCACCACCACCCCCTTCGGGGGGGGTCTCCGCCGTGCGAACGGAGGAGAGCTGGAGGGAGCGCAAATGGAGGGCTTGCAGGGCAAAGAAAATCCCGAGCACTAACGTAGGGATGCTAGACAACCTCAGGTGCCAACGGATTGGCCAAGACCGCGATGGTGACAACTGGTGTTTTCAGCCAAGTGCAAAGACTCAGGGGCTTTATTTATCTATCTATATTACCTCCTTGACTGTGTTGAAATATAAATATGTTTACAATTGTTTACATCATGTTCCCACACGTTGTTCCAACAGGTGCCAACTCAGCATTGCCTTTTCCTCAGCCTCCTTGGCCTCATACGTATATAGTAAAACCCTTTCTAGACTCTCTAACCCAAGAAGAACGACCCACGCCATCTGCTTCGCCCACGACACAGCACCTTCCGCCCGCCCAGCACTCCCTGCCCGCCAAGCCGCCACAAGGAGACCTTGAAGCTGCCGAAAAGGTCACGAGAGGTGCCGTACCACAGGGGCCCCACGCCTGCGCCAATGTAAGGAGGCCTTTTCTCCCCCAGGTTCTCTTGCGGAGTTTCGGATCTGGAGAATGACAGGGAAGGGGGTGTCTGAAGGAAAGTCACGGGAAATGACCGGGAAGCATGTTGGAGACGAGCAAAGGCGTCCATTGGACGGCGCTTTCTGGACAGTCTTTTCTGAGAGTAGCTTTTGGGAACGGCGAGGTTGGCCCACAGGTGATCCAAAGCCAGACCTGTCACCCTCCATCATGTTCCACCATGTTCTCAGCTGAGTCCCCACTCGCGGCCCTGCTCCCCTTCTGTCCCTTACTGTTGAAGGTTGGCCATGTTTTTCCAATGAAAGCTCCACGGATCGCCGTGACACTGGCGTCAGCCAGAAAAAGCATCACGGGCATCAGGCCCCCTGACGATGAGGTCGCATGCATCTTCAGATGCGGAGAATGGATGAGAATGGAATCAGCAGTTGCAGCAGTTGGATTCGGCCCAAAAACCATTGAATCAAAACTGGTCAACAAAAACAGACACACGTTCCACGCCCTGCAAGGCTTGACGATCTGCCCACCCTGCCTGTCCCGACGAGAGTGCAGAATTGGTTGTAGCCCAAGACACGGCCAATCTCCTTGCGGCTCACGCCCAAAGAGAGGAAGGCCAAGCCCGCAGAGAGTAAACTCTGAAAGATCCTCAGCCAATCATCCTCCCCTCCAGACGAAGACGAGGCGTTACATCGGTGTGCATTTTCTACTAGGGAGACCGACGGGAGTCGGTCTCAGCCCCCCTTGGAAAGAAGGGGACATGCTCAACCAAAACTCACCCCTTCGTCGCTTGGGGGTCGTTACTTAGGTGGGATCCTAGAGCATCGAAAAGCCATCAAAAGCCCACTATAAAATGCGATAAGCAGTCACCATCGATCTCTGATCCCAAATCCCAAGCTACAAATGCTCCTGCGCCTCCGCCATCCTGTCCCTTCCTGCGCCTCCATCGACCGACCGAGCTTCCCCGATGTGATGCCACGCACCGCTCCGCAGAGCACCTGGGACGAACCGAACGACGCGAGGAACGACGCCGAGCGACGTCACCGAGGACGTCACGTGGTGACTAGGTGGAAGGAAGGACGGCCACCCACGTTTTCTGCACCCGAACCCTGGAGGTCCTCCGATGGTGTTCCAAAACCCAGACGAAAAAAAGAGAACAAAGGACCCACCATCAAGGTCAACCACCTTCCACCAAACCGGCAGTTCTTGCCCCTGCCAGGCACTCATTTTCACGTCCCAGGCACCGCGGTGGGCCAGCTCTGGATGCTCGTCAGCCCACTTGTCACGCTGGCCGTGAGGACACCCGCCACGGCCAACAGGAAGGATGGGAGCCACGTCTTGCGGCTACCTCGCTACTAGGAGCCAAGGGCATCGCTACTAGTGGCAAGTATCGCGCGCTGCTAGTAACAAGATGTAACAAGAAGGGATCCACAATCAGGGAGACATCTTAGTCTGCTAGAAATGCAACTGGTGACGAACAACACGAGTTTCCGCGCGGATCGAATGGAACACAGGCAGGGACGCGGTGGGGAGCATCACCGGGCATCCGGCGTCTGTCCAAGCGGAAGGAGACTACGCTCCAAGGATGGATGCTCGAAGACCGCGGATTTGGGAATCTTTTTCCCATCGACAACAGCCCAACAGTCATGGACGTCTAGGTTGGACCCCTATACGTACCTGTTTGGAAAGGGACTGGCCTCGCAGCTGGTAATTTGCACTACAAGATTCCTAAATGGACTATGGTTTCAACCCACCCCAAACCGCAAAACTACAACCCCAACTCCAAGTCTTGACCGTGGAGAGTGAGCACACAGATTCACCAATGAAAGAATGCATAATTAAAAGATTATGTTTTCCCCCATCTCTACAGCTTAACCTCCACCTCCATTTGATCCGTCCACCACTGGATGCTCCCCTCTTCGGCCCACTCGTCCCCGCGGAAACCGCATGCCGGACACCGCACGGCGCTTCTCCGCACCGGGCGGCTGTAGGCATCCATCAGCTCGCCCACGACCGGGATCGAGACCGAGGAGGAAAGCGCCAAGGGCGCGAAGACATGCAATGGCACGGAGACATCTCTCACGCCCACGGTCGCCTGGCAGGTGAAACGGATGAGTCCAACGGTGTGACCTGTTAGTCCCGTGGCAGATGGAGGACACCTGTGGCGGTCAGCCCTCGCCAGTGTTTTTTGGAAAGGTGAGAGGGGCCACAGGGAGAACCTCGTGGTGTTGACAGAAAGCCTCCCACAGATGTCTGAGTACAGGCGCTCACCAAGACGGATAGAATGATCTGCTACATGCACTTTGATCCTCCCTCCCAGCCACCCTAGCCGCACTAGCCGCCTGAGCCGCCCCCAGCCTCCCCACCCTCCAGTTTTCCCGGTCTTCCGCCCGGCCTCAGCAACCATCTCCATCATGTAGAAGTCGCAGCCACCAAACATCAAAGCATAGAAGAATGTGAAAACGAAATGAGCCCAGAAGCGCCTCACCGAAATCTCACTCGTCTCCTGCACTTCGCCGGTGGTTGTTGTGGTTTCCTTTAAGGCAGCCTCTTCCTCTTCAGGAATGGCAGCCCATCCATCAGGCAGCAAACCGCAAACCTCTGGGCTTCTTCTCAACAGCAAAGCCGACAAAGGCGCCAAGAACAAGTTCGCCGTGGCGCCCAACAGCGCCGCGGTATGCCAACTGTAATTGGCCACAATGCCAGCAATCACCGTTCCAAAGACTGCATTGCCAAGCCATTGAAAGGTGAAAACCTAGCGAGGTTTAGGTCATGGAACTGGAGAGAAAAAGAGGAATCTATACAGAGGAATCTAAACATCTGCCGAAAGTCTGGAGTTCCGGACGCGTCCAACCGATGGTCTACCCAAAAAAGAAAGGCCACTTGGTCTTTCAATAGCCCTGGTATCTACGTTGCTTGCGATCCTTTGGAGATCTTTGGAGCATCCTGAGCCGAGCATCCCGAGTCTCAGACCCCCAAAGCATCCCGAGTCGTGCTTGGCGAAGCAGGTCCGGGCCCCCACGGAGGCCGGGCGGCCGCTTCGCCCTTTTCAGATGCTGAAGACCCCCCGAAACGAATCGAGGCTGGGCTGACAGAAAGAACGATCCTTTCATCGGGCCCAAGGGATTCCCAGACACTCCAGGTATATATGTATAGCCATATGTTTGCCAATATTTACGTGAAAGGATGGTTTGGGGGATCAATGTCTAATGATGTCTAATGTATATAGGCATCTCTGGCAATCCCATTAGTCGTGTCTGCGATTGGATGTTCACTCCCAGGCTTCGGTGGTGTCCCGATTCGGAGGTCCCCACACCGCTCCAGGGGACCACGCCCACAGCACGTCCTCGGCGGCGTTTGAACCATTGCTGCACACAGGCGTTCGGGAAGATCTCGCCCGCGCCCAGGCACAACATGCGGAGGAAGAAGAAGACGCCAATCACCTGAATAGAGAGCTTGGGACGGACCACCTCTCAGAAATGGGACCGCTGGGTGGACTCTAGCTCAAGAAAAACGGGATGGCAAAGAATCGAAAAACCTCCAACCTCTGGGGGTCAAACATGCTCTTCCAAGGGCCATCTCCGGCCTTTTTGGCTCTGCTTCAGAACCCCAACCCCCCCCCCCCCCCCCGCCTCGACGCGCAAGGCCAGGCGATCCTCCGGGCGCTGCCACAGGCCGAAGGCCAAGAGAGTCCCGCAAATGGCCAGCTGAACAATTGGGATGCACACCTGCCAAGAGAGGTGAAGTGACCTACTGGGATAGTCCTACTGGGATAGTCTATTTCGGCTCATTCAACCTCTGTTGGTGGACCACCACCACCACCAGCTGGACCACCGCCAGGACCGAGGTCTGGAGGACGAGAAAAAGGCAGGTGCTGTGCTTTCTGGCTTTCTTTGGTGGCTTGGCTGGTTGGGTTGGGTGGGGTGGCCACCAGTGGTAAACAATGTAAAACAGCTGTGGATGTTCGTTTGGATGGCTCTTCAGTCTCTTGAGTGGCTTGTAGATGCTCGTAGGTGTTGGTTGGCAGATCTAAAAACTGTGCTGCCCTCTGGTTCCATCCTTCTTTCCCTTTCGCGAATACAACATCACCCATGTCCTCATCAGTCCTCCCACATGCCCAGTATGGGCTTCGGGCACCTTTCCAGTGACCTCAACCCACTCACTCTTCAGGTCGAAACGAAACCTTCGGGAGACCTGGGGAGATCCTGAGAGAGGAGACTTGGGGGGAGAGATCCCGATGGTGATGGCCCCGAGGAGACTTGGGATGAATGAAATGTGAAGACGACCCTTTGAGGGTGGTGCCTTCCACTTGGGATTCCAAGGAGTGTCCAAATCCATCCTTATTTAAAAACATATGCTCCTCAACCCTTGCACATGAAGCCTCCTGGCTTCCTCCTTGCCCAGCCACCCGACCACCGAAGCGGTCCATCGTGCGGCCCAGAGCGGGTTGTGCCATGCCAGCGAAGATGGTGGCCACCGAAAAGAGGCCTCCTAGCTCGGAGTGGGAGAGCTGGAAGTCCTGCAGCTGACACTCCCAGCGCCGGACGGTGGGAGTGTCAAAGCGAATGGCACTGACATCGACCAGGGGGGGCCTCAGTTACCCGAACCACCCCGAAAGCACCACTTCCGCCGCAGTCCTCAAGGAGGTGCGGCACGGTGTAGGACATCACGTTGTTCTGTCCTGCTTCGAGCCGTCCGAGTCGGGTGCCCGTGAGTCGGGCAGTGAGTCCGGCCTGTAGCTGTCATCCTTCAGCAAGAGCCGAGCGAATGTCTGAGAGCACGGGCACCCGTGCATTCAGCAAGAACCGAGCTGCGTGCCCAAACACCTGGCGGTGGTTCCTGCATGTACACCCCGCGCTTAAACGATCCTATGGACCCTGAGAATTGGGACCGTGGCTTCGATCATTTTGCCTCTACGACCCAATGGTTTTGGGGGTGTTGTGTTCATTGGCGGAGGGGGCATATCGATGATCTGTTGTATCTATACTTCCTCCAAAATAGCACCACCCCCCTGGATGAAAGCTTACGATTCTAAAGAATGTCACATGTGAGAAACGGCGAACCCGATCTGTCTCCCCAGAGTTCCAGGATGTTCCAGGATGTTCCAGGATGTTTCATGCTTTCGGACTCCGGGTTCCAAATTCGAAAAGCTCAGGCAGATTTGCTCGCAAACTCCGAACATGTTTGCTTCGAGACCCTCCTCTTTGCGCCTCACATCACCTGCTGTAAAACATATGACCTGCATCTTCGCAATCCAAACGTCCGACGGATGGTCCTTGAACCTTGAAGATTTTGCAAAGGATACAGACCGCCACGATGACCCAACCATAGAAGCAGCATCCGCCACCCAAAGGTTCACGCGAGGAGTCGACCGGCACGCGGTGGCCGCGAGGAGGGCTCTGGAGCTTCACCGCCTGAGCCACCAAGTCCGCCACATTCGCCTTCATCATGAAGGATCAGAGGAAAAAAAAGGAGACTCAAATGGTCTGATGCTGATGAAGCCTGATGAATCCTGGTCTGCTGACTGAAAGAACTCCTGGAGGAGGAGGAGTTCAAGGGGGTACAAATAGGCGATCTGCTTGAGGTGTCAAGTAACTTCGAAACTCGAAACTATCCTTCTCACACTTGGGGCGATGTCAGGCCTCAAAGGGACCGATTCTATCAAGTAGTCTAACGATGTCTAACGTAGATGTCCTGATTCTTCTTGAGTGCGACTGGGAAAACAACCTAGCTACGCTGATGAGCCACTGTCGCAACCAGAGCGGCCGTGTCGATGGATCCGACGACCAAGAAGCAAAGGGTCCACTCGGTTTGCTTTCTCCAGAAACCCTGAGGAAAACAAGCTGGTAGTATATCCAAGTGCATGCGAACATCTGCCTGCGCATGTTATGAAAAGATCGGATGTGGCAGCACATCAGACCCAGGGACCTGCAGTTGTTTTGTCCTCTTTTCCACTTACCAGGTGGCCATTGAAAAAAAAAGAAAAAACATCGGGATCTGCCGCAGTGAATCCACTTCGGGATCCACCTCTTTCCACTTTCTGACTATTTTGGAACTCCAAGGACTCCGACCTGGCCAACTGAAGCTTGGCATGCCGCCTGCCGCTCGGCTGTGGTCGGACCCCGACCGATCGGGCTGTTGGTGTGTTCCGACCGGGGCGAGCAAAAACAGACTATATAAATCCATGGGTTGGGAGGTTTCCCCTACTTCAAAAAAGAAAAACACCTATTATATGATATACGTCATTACCTACCAGAGAAAACTACCCCAATTTCCGCCCTCACTGCATGTGCTCACTCAACGGATGTCGCGCATCGGCCCCCCTCCACCTGACAAAGCCGTTGGTCGGCTCAAGGGAACCGTCCAAGAGCTTCAGGAACGTGGACTTACCTGGTCATGTGGAGACCAGCCCGCCAGGAACCACCATATGTTTCTACCTCTCACTCAACTAGAACTAGAGGAAGAGAGTCTTCCAAAGTCTCTGAAAACGGGGGCAATGGTTGGTTGGGAGGAGTTTTTGTTGGCATTCAGAGAATCCACTCGATCCACATTTTGGATCCACCACTGGAACCCAGCCGCACATCTGGTGGAACCTGCCAACCCCTTCAGAAACGGCGTTTGAAATAGGTGGGCCAAGTGGTAAGCGCAAGGTCGTTTTCGCGATGGATTTGTCTGTCACTTACAAAGGAGTGGAGGACTACCTTCCTACCAACAAAAAGCCGATTTCTTAGAAGGATCCAATCATCCAATCAAAGCGAAAATATATATAATAATGATATAATATAGAATCATTTGGGAGTCTTCAAAATCGCAACGACGGCACCGTTTGGGCCGCCGTCCCCACCTGCACCGTTCGGGCCCACGATGGCCACTCTGGAGTCGCAGTCCACGCCAAAGTCCAGGTTCTGACGGATGCCGGGAACCGCAAAAGGCGACCCGGCGCAGCCGCCGGGTCAACCAGGCTACTGAGTCCTGGTGTCCAATGGAGGTGGTGGTTTTTTCAGACACAACCAGTGGGCTCATCCCAAATGCAGTGTCGGATTGGACACCCCAGGACCCCACCCCTGGTCGTGGTCGGTGCCTCTCAGTCTTCAGCCCATGGCAGCAGGTGAATCAGCCCATGGTTTTTCACACGGAGAACTTCGGTTCGGGGGGGGGGAGACCTACGCTCCAAATCACTAGCATGGCAGTGGAAAACACCCGTAAAGGAAAGTTCCACCTCCATGTGACTGAGTCGGGGTGTAAGACCTTTAACCAAATGAGCTCCAGCAGGCTCCACGGTCCGACCTGGTAGAGGATCCGGTCCGGAGTGTAGCCGAAGCCGGCCTCGATGACGGAAATACCTGGACCGAAGCGAAGCGGCCGTCCAGGCCGTTGGATCAGCAGGTCTGAAACGATCCACGATCCTGGGATCTGTGCTTGGCGCATACTTGGCTGGTTCATGGACACTGACAATGAGAGTCCCCAAGCACCATGAGCCAAATGAGTTTTGAGTTAATGGGGGATGTTCAAATTTGCAGACATTATGGTGGGTGGAGGCTGAGGTGTTAAGATCCTATCCAAATGGGTTGCTTCCCAACCCCCCACCCACCTGTGGTCTCCAGCTGAGTCTACCCCACCCCACCCATCCCGCGCACAAGGCGGAGGCAGCGTGGACGCTGCTGGGAACTCCAACTGCAGGTAGGGGTCGTCGTAGTCTGAGGGCGAGAGGGACAGTACAGGCTCCTGGAAAGGGATGTTCACCACAGTCTACATCATTGTAAAAGGAGAGATCGGGATGAGTAGGGTAACTGATCCCTGTGAAATGTGTGTTCTTTGATGGTGGAACAACATTTTAAAATGGTGGTATTCCATCGCTACTACGTTGGAGGCCATCGCTCTTGCTGGTGGTGGTGGTGGTGGTGGTGGTGGTGGTGGTGGTGGTGGTGGTGGTGGTGGTGGTGGTGGTGGTGGTGGTCGTAGTGGTAGTAGTAGTGGTAGTGGTGGTGGTGGTGGTGGTGGCGGTCGTAGTGGTAGTAGTAGTAGTAGTAGTAGTAGTAGTGGTAATAGTAGTGGTGGTAGTGGTAGTAGTGGTGGTAGTGGTAGTAGTGGTAGTAGTGGTAGTAGTGGTAGTAGTGGTAGTAGTGGTAGTAGTGGTAGTAGTGGTAGTAGTGGTAGTAGT